AATCCTTCCTGCAAAAGTGTGTTTTCAGCTCAGGAAACAGCAATTTTAAATTATTTACATCGCTAAACATGCTCCGTTTGAACAGATAAAAGATTTTATTCCCCTGTATGTTTACATAAGAAATTGTTTACAGAACTTGTTTTCTTTACAATACTTGTGTTGCAATTTTCAGATTTCACATTTTTTTTTCCCTTTAACCTGCCTAAAATACTATGTCAGGTACATCTGTTTGAGTTTTCTTCTTGGGGAGAACGGGATAAAAACTGATAATAAATATACATCCACATGACAAGGGGTGTGCAGTAGGGCAGGGGAAAATACAGGAAAAAAGTTCAGGACGCTACACTGAAGTGGGAACCAAGAGTGTCTCCCATTCTAATACCTATCACCATTCAGTAACTTTGTTTGCATAGGTCAGCCTTACTCAAGGAGCTTTCCTTCCCCACTGTAGTGAAAGAAAACCCAGGAAAAACAAAATAGTACCTTGTTACAGATTATTTGAAGTGGAGGCCATCTGGGATTCATTCCGACTCCAGAAACCCAAGCTTACCCCACTCAGGAACATTTTGAGTATGGAAAAGGCTAACTCTGGGTTGGTAAAATTATAGTCTCTAGACAGAATACCAGATAGTTTTACAATATCTGGATTTAAGGATTCTAGATATCCATGCATGTGACAATTTTTCTGTTCTATCTGGCATTCCCTAATTTGCTTATTCCAGTACTTTGGGCAATCCTGTGACTTTAATCCCTAAATTCTATATTAGCGGCTCTGAGACCCTGATAATTTTATAGACCAAGAAGGGTAATGACTCATGGCAATGACAGAAAAACCTCATTATAGAAGCCTTTATTTTGGCCCAAGGTGCCTATAGCAGGCATTCATTTGTTCAGGTGAACACAGATCCCTCCACACCTGTGGGATGGGGTCAGTCACAAGGGTCCTTTCCTTCCTATATCACTGGTAAAGGCAGACCTGTTCCTGACTTGGGGGAAGGTTACATTGGTTTGAATCAAAATGATCAATTATCTGTCAGGAGACGAAGGAAAAGTATGAAACTAATATTCCATCTTGGGATAAAATGGTTCTTTTCTTGGGTTTGTGTACGTATAATTATTAGCAATCCAAGTTTCATAATTCTAATTCAGAAAAAACCAAGTTCTGTTATCAATTTACACTGAACAAAGTGATAACCTTTTTTGGAGACATTCAGAAATCCCTATATTTTAATTTTCTTAACCACACTAAAGATTAAGGATCACACGAATCCTCTTATTCACTGTATTGAAGAAATGATAACTGCTCTTTTTCATTTTCCCTTATACAGTTATCTCTGGGAATTTTCTGTGGCATTTTCTTTTTTCTTCAACAGTAACCACTCTTCATCTTATGGGGGGTGATTTTGCTTTTTGAAAACAGTCAAATATTACTCTGAGCAGAGTGGTGGAAAAATAGCAAGAAAGAGAATACACTTTGAGATGCTCAAAGTGAAACTAAGGAGCTAGTAAAACAACTGATTTTATTATACCTTATTACCCTCCTTGATGTTATTTCTAAGGAGAGGAGTTTCAAAATAACTTAAATGATGGCAGCATCATTAAAATAGGTATTAGCTTTCCAAGTGAAACCAGGTGCCTTTGAAGGGAATAATACTCAAACTGGATGTCAAGATTCTGATATGTCTGCTAAAGAAATCATTAGGCTGAAATTATTATAATCACATTTTAAAAAGAGACCATTTAAACCTCATCTCCTCTGAGGCCTGTATTTTTAAAAACATTGGGATTTGAATTTGAGATTTTAGTTATTTGATGCTGTAAGGGAAAAAAAACCCAATCTGTGATGTTTTCTGGTTTAGTTATTACTTTTACACAGTAGGCATAAAAGCAAATCAGTAACATATCTTATATTTGCCCATTTTTTAAATGGTAGATCCCTGATCATACGTTTAAAAAGAATTGAAATCTGATATGCTTTTACTGGTGTATGTAGGGGTACGTGTATGCGTGTGTGTGTATAATGTGCGTGTGTAATAACTAAAAAGGAAAATCTGTATTCAAAGCTGTGTGATAATTTAGGCTTCTATTCAGACAACCAAGGAAGAGCAACCCAGGTTATTGAAAGCCCACTATAATTCTCTAAAATGTATACATTGCTACAGTAATAGCAAGAACTATAGGAGGTAACTGAAGAACATCAGGATTATATAAATCCTTCATAGTCCTTCTATAGAATAATAGTATTTACTTAGAACTCTATAATTCTATAATCTTAAAGACCATCTAGTTCAAACCCATTGCTGTATGAACAGGACAACAGCAGCTCTGAAAGGTGACGTAAGTGCAGGCAGTGGCTGGCAAGGTAAGGATGAGGTCCCTAGGAAGCATGTCCTGCCCAAGCCTCTTTTCCTATCACCCTGGCTCCATCTAGTTTATGTCTCACATCTGTAGAATGAAGTGGGTGGACTAGAGGATGGTCTCCAAGGTTTCTTTTGTAGCTCATTCTATGGTTCCATAGGCCTATCAATTACCAGCATACTACACTCATCTCAAATAAACACTTTTAGCTCAAGGTGATGCTATAAACTAAGGAAGGTCCCATTACCACGTCACTCACAGGTATTCTTCAAGAGAAAAACAGGTCTCCCCTTTGAGGCCCTACTCTTCAAGAACAAGCCCAAGATAATTTCACGACTTATCTCCTTCAGGCTTTCACCATCTAGTCTTTGGCTTCTATTCTGTTCATTTTCATTAGCAGTCTCCATTAAGCTTTATTGAGCCAGACGACTAGATAATATATCTCAATGTAATTATGGGTAATGCATGAAAGGAACAATTTAGAGACACTTAACCTAATTTCCAAACTATACTCTTCACAGTTTCAATTAAATTGAGAAACTAGATATTTCATTATATTTCTAACATGTATGTATGAAAAAAAAAATCAAATCTGAAAACACAGAAGTATAATATTATTCTTTCTGCAGCAGTTTTTCTTGTTCACAAAAGGGTAAGCCACGCCCCATTTTCACTGCTACCCAATTACACAGAGCTCTTCATAGATAGCTTAAAAAAAAATCTTTAGCATGTAGGCTTTGCCTCTCTAAATTTCAGAAATGGTCTGTTATCTTGAGAGGCCTTTACTAATCTTCTCTAATTTCAGCTGGCACAGGAAATGTCTGAAAGTCAAAGACTGAAAGGTTCAGGCCTTTCCTCACATGCCTTTCAAAGGCTGCTCTCACATGGCTGGGGTCAAAGCCTGTCCTCCAAAGTGCAGTGTTTTGCAGGCTTTCACACTTACTGTTAACTTTTCTTATCCACACCCCCCCCCCCCAAAGTGCAAACATGAGGAAGAAGCAGCGAAAGCACTAGATAGAGAAACAAGCAAATGGATTTGGAATTTTATTTGTATAAATCTGATCAACTAAGAGTCCCCCTTTTGATTATAGTAAATGGCACATGAGGAAGAGAACAACAATGGGGTTCTCTGTGCCCACCTCTTTTCAAAAGGGTGATTTTATAAAACTGCTTTTTCATATAAGGAAAAAAAAAATACACTTCAGTGAATACATACATATACAGAGGGTGACCATGAGGCATGTTGTCATGTCAGTGCAGGGTCCTTTATTTATTTTATGAACAATAATCTAACGTTAGTGAGGAACTATGCTATCTTTTGTTTTGACTTTTAACCTAAGAAGCCAAGGAAAACCAACTGAACATCGTTCCACTGGCTGCAGCCTTCAATTTAAACAGCAGAGAGAAAAGAAAGGTAAGTAGCTACAGTCAAATTGTGCTGAGCTTGTCAGCACACTTAATTCGGATTATCTGAAAATAAACAACATGCTTATTCTACAAAGACAGAAGACCTGCTGAAAGCTTATAGCAATACACAAGTCTACTCAAAATGATTCCATATGTTACACCGTAGGATCGCTGTGCAGTTATACATGGGAAAGAGAGCAAAACCCTGTACAGACACCTGATATCGGACTTGAAACACCAAGTGGAAACAGAACTATTCAGCGTCTTCATTTATACACAATTTACAATATTTGATTCAAAATAAAAATCACAAGAAAAATACATCTGTTTCTGCTACAATTCCTTCCCCTCCCCCATCCACCCCCCAGTGAAAAGTCTTCTAATAAAAGGTATCATATTACCACCATTGTCTTGTTTTGGTCTAATTCTGAGATCCCAGCTTGGGACAGTTAACATGAAAAGGAATGGCAATACTTGGGATTTGTATCATGTGCACATTTTATCCAAGGATCTCAAGTACTTGCAGTCACAGCTCCAGATCTGAGAAATCATGGTTCAATGGAAGCCAGAAAGCTGGACGAATGCTGGGCAGGTTGCATGGGGTGTAAATCCCTTGGCTATGTTTATGATCAAAGGTTAAAGTTGGTTGGCTAGAGCTGGGCTCAATTTCTCTTCTCAAATATATACTGCTATTAGTCAATCAGTTCTACCCTCTCTTAAAGCACAGACCCATCTCCAGGCTATCGTCTAAAGTTAAGACCAATTGAAGAAGCCATGTCCTTATGATAATGCATCAGGATATAAAGCAAAACAGGTAAACACATTTGTCAGCATCTGACCAAAGGGGACAGGAGTTGGGAGGCCATTCCTAGCAAGAATGAGACAAAGGTGTCAATTCACTATTTTCAGTTACAGTTAAGCTTTTGGTGGAGTTGATTCCAGCAGAGGTGAAGCTCATGGCATCTAGCGCTTGATTTAAGATAATGCTATTGAAGAAAGGTAATGAGAAAACACGGCAAAACTAACAGGGAGAATCTGGCCAAGGAATATCTGGAGGGCCAAAGTGATTTTCTTTCCTTATCATTTCTACAAGAGAAGGCAAGGGGTAGGAGATAAGGGCTAGAAGCCCCTTATTTGCAGATTTAAAAAAAAAAATCATTTTTCTTATAATTCCGTAATGAAAATGTATATTACGGTACGAAGGTTATACAACTGCATCTGCTACTGGGTCACGGCTACAGGTCTATGAGCTGATCCACCAGCAGTAAAGACCTGGCTAGGTTGGGAAGACTGGACTCAGAGCTCCCACTGCTGTTTCTAGAGTGCCCACCTGGAAGTGGAGAGATAGGAATTCAGTACAAAACATAGAGGGTTAAGGTTCAGATGTGCAGAGCAAGCAAAGGAGAAGAAAATAGAATGAAACAAAAAACCTAGAGAAGCAACATTTTACATATGCAAACTCTTATATGTTGATTTTTAAATATATAAATTAGCTACCCATTGCCTCCCACCAAAAGTTCAGGCAGTCTGTGTACACCGCAGAGTAGGCAGGACACTGAGTGAAGAGAATACCATTTCCAAACGAATACATATTTGCCTGAGCATTGCTGGCTGTACCCTAATTCCTGATAACATCCATCCATCTCCCTGAGAGTCAAAATCATAATTCTCACTTTAGGATGAAATTAGTTATTAAGATCACATGCTTAAAAAAAATAAAACTAGAAGGTTTTATAGCACTTGTGGGTTTAATGGCATGTTCAAATGATTTTAGTCCATCAAGGAGGAAGAAGGATGCTCCATAAATGCCCCAAAAGATGTAAATAATACCAGAGCATCTTGTTAATTTCTTTGGGAAGAATATTTATCATAGTGTTCTAGTCATGATAAAAAAACGTTAAGTGCTTTTTTTTTTTTTTTGGACATGCCTTCAAGTTTCCACTGACTGAAAATCACTTCATTTTTTTAATTTAATACTTTAAATATTAAATATTAAATCTAGCTTCTTTTTTTTTTTCCTTTTTAAAATCAAACTATTAAATGCTTTTCTCTAAATAAACACCATGGTCAAGCTCTGTATTTTTAGCTATCTAACTATACTGGTCTAGCCCACAATGATTGTCATTACCAATTTCCTTCATTAAATGTTTTTTTCCTCTTGTAGATTAGGTTCATTACTATTTCAAAAAGAGCTGGTATTAAGCTCTTTTTTTCCATCTTCTCTTTCTTACCTTGTGGATTTTTGGTTATCAATACAGGAATGGGGTCAAACTCATCTTCCGCCACCTTGTCGGAGCCCTCAGGGACATCAAAACCTGAGATGAGATTACTATCTTCTGCAGCTTAATGCAGAATGCAAGTACACAAGCAGAAACAACAGAGGTAGAGATTAGCAAATGAGAGAATGTGAAAGAGGTAAAAGTTCCCAACTGTTCAATCACTCTTGTTCTCAAAGTGAAGGTAGTGATTTTTCTGAGTTTAAATATTGTTGTTAGTTGCAGCTGAGTCAGTTCTGACTCATGGCCGCTCCTTGTGTGCAGAGCAGAACTGCTCCACAGGGTCTTCAAGGCTGTGACCTTTTGGAAGAAGATCATCAGGCCTGTCTTCCCAGGTACTTCTAGGTGGGTTTTAATGGCCAGCCTTTGCACTAGCAATCAAATGCTTAACTGTTTGAGCCACCTAGCGACCTCCTGAGTTGAAGTAAAAGTAGCAAAACCAGAAAATTTAAGGATACAGAAACAACTGCTTAGAAGTTGGCCATGTTAATTCTTTTATAAATGTTATCGCAAGAATTCTCTCTACCACTCATCAAAACCAAAACCAAACTCACTGCCCTTGAGTCGGTTCTGACTCATAGCAACCCCTCCTTGGGTTTCCGAGGCGGTATCTCTATGGAAGTAGATTGCCCGGTCTTCCTTCTGAGGAGTGTCTGGTGGGTTTGAACCGCCAGCCTTCTGGTTAGCAGTCAAGTGCCTTAGGCACTACCCCACCAGAGCTCCTCTACCACTCAAGACAATTTAATTATAATTATTATGAGATATCTCTTCAATGCCACTAATTTACAAAGACAGAGGTATTAGTCATTTGTCTTCTTTACTGAGCAAATAGTGACCTGACTAGCAACATTCCCAAAACTCAAAAGTAGAGGTGGAATGGGGGGTGGGGAGGGGTGGTAATTAATGGCTCTAAGAAACAACCACTATATACAAAGTAAGCAAAATATTTCTGGAAGGACTCACTGTTCTGTGAATGGGACAAAGATTTTTAAAAAACTCGGATGGCTCAGGGAATGTTGGGACACAAAATCACATGCACTGGGACATCAAGCAGAAGTTTGTTAGAATGTTCCTTTGAATTCTAGTTAAAGCCACCCCACTGGCCAGCAAGTGCCAGCTGAGCACCTAATTGCAAGTGATGCATCTCTGTAATTACACATTGCTCCTGACACACTCCTGTCAGACTTGATTATTTACAATAGCTAACTTCCCTATACATGCTCTAAAAAAAATAAATAACAATTTTAGTACTGTCAGGGGTGAAAACAAAAAACTCAGCTATTACCACTGCAACCAAAGGCTACTTCATTTTAGTCATCTTGGGGAAGTTTCCTTCAGAAGGGGCTTAAGCTCTTCTTTTCTATACATTTGCTCCTTCCAGAAAACAACTTCCACTGTCCCAGCATAGGAAAACTCATTAGCAAAGACTTTCAGTAAGGAAAACTCTCAGGAGCCATTCAGTTTTTCTCTTGTAAGGATAAATGTAGGCCCAAGAAGAAGAAAGTGTTTACCTTTATGGGCTGGAGCAGAGATCACTATAGGGGCAAACTCTTCCAGGAGATCAGTAGTAGGGTTAGAAAGCAGAGAGGAATCAAGTAGGGAATCTTCCCCGGTGAGAGAATCTTGAGTCCAGATTAACAGGATCCCAAGTCAGTGATGGCATTGAATGGCACACACAACAATATAAGATTAGATCTTTAGCCTTTAAGTTATTTTATTTACCTGTTACACATTCAAGCCAAAGTAGGAGAAAGAAAACCATCAGAAACATGGTAGGTCCTCCGAATTTCCATCTATAGAAATATGTACTTCCAGATTTTTCTTAACATTAACATACAAATACGGAAGAATTTTTTGCTCAGAGGTTGCTGGTTAAGCAAGTCTGTGATTTGGATGCCAATGTAACCTTAGCAATTCAGTACTCAGAAAATGCTATGTGGGATAAAGAGTTTCACTTAAATTTTCCTTACACATTCATGGAAGAAAGTTTCTGTAGGCCAAGGCATCCAAGCTGATTAGGAGAGGGCTGCCCCTGGCTTGTTATTAGCAGAACGTGACCCGTACTTTCTAGAACTTATCCAGATTCCCATACCCTGCCTCTTACTAGTATTCTTTAAATTTGAATTCCTCCTCTGAACACAGGATTTGGTTTTCAGTTAAAGAACAGAGGGAAGACAAAATTCATAGTTCAAGCATTTTAACACATGAAATGTTTTCTGGGAAAATTTTCTAAGAGAAATACTGAGATTCCAAAGCATCCAAGTAAGGACAAGGAATAGGAACCATATTGTCTCTGTTAATTTTTTTCTCTCACCTGGATGAGGTTATTCTCTTATGTCGCAGCTTTATCACTGTTTCTGTTCTGAGCTAGGATATTAGACACTCTTATAAAGGTAATTATGGAATCAGTAAAAATGAAAGCTATCAAATCTGTATGTATGAGCATTTAAGAAATTCTACTAAGAATTAACTTAGAATTTAGAGAGAGCAATGCTGGATCTAGGCAAGAGTTCAATTTTGCCTACCATTTAGCAGCAAATCACCTGTATATGATGAAAGCTCTGTCTTGGACATAGAATGTCAATACACAGAACATGAACTCAGTGGATGTCACTGAACTGTTAGATAGGAAAGACTGCTCAGCAACTTGGAAGAGTTAAGTATATTCTTGCAGCTCAAGAGTGTTTTAATTAAGGAGGTTGAGGCAACCTGCCAGCAGTGAAAAGAATCTTGAATAAAGAAATATGATGGCCAGAGAAAGCCCAGGGATCGCTCTACAAAGAACATGGCTCCAGGAAGCACCCTCTGCTCTTCAGTGAGAAAACATCAACATCTAGAAGCTGGGGCTCGAAGAACAACTCAGGGCATCCATTCTAGGGGGAACGAGCCAGTCTACAAAATAAGCCCTCCAACATCTGTCCCAGGGGGAGAGATTGGCTCTGAGGGCTCACCACATGGACCAGCCCTGCAGCTACAGAGACACCTGACTGACCTGTGCGGTTCGAGGTAACGGATTCCGTCTGAGATGGGAGGCGCTGGGGCACCGGAGGCTCCAGTCCTGGTATGAGACTCTCAACAGCAGCATCAGCTTTTTCTTTTATGACAGAGCAATAAGAAAGGAGAGGAAACAGCAAAGAAAGGAGGTCAGAAAGTTCTTTAGAAAATTCTGCAAAGGCTTTCTTCTACAGATTTCTAAAATACCCATCTCAGATGAGAGGGAAAGCACAATAAGTGACTTTATTTGTGCTGCTTTCAGTGTATGGACTTCACTGACTGAGCCTGCAAGTGCAACGTTACCACTGGGCCAGTCTCAGAGGTTCTCTGTTCTTATACATAAAAGTGGAACACAAGCCACCCAGCAGATCTCTTCCATGTCAGAAGGGCTAGCGGCTGAAAGCATTTTCCTATCTTCTTGTAATTTTGCTTTTCTTAGTGGACAGACTTGGGGACAAGGCCACCAGTCCATCTCAAACCATCTCATAAGCTGGAAGGTATTCTGCACTGTATGATATCTCTCAGCTGGAGGCTCATCTCTCTTTAAGGTCATGGCATTTTTGAGTTCTAGGACTTTTGCCCAAAGGCATCATTATGTCTTTATGGATAGGCCTTACTAGAATTATACTGGATTTAGGCATTTTGTAGGTCTTGCCTGCCTTGCTGTTGGAGTACAGGGAAATGCAAGAGAGTAAGCAGACCAAAGCCCCTGCCCTGGATGCTACTCATTTGGCTTAACCACTGGACAAAGTGTTTTCTCAGTTACTGATATTCACTATATACAATGGTCTTCTAAAGAAAAATCTGCTAAATTCCATTAAGTTCAATAAAGCTAAGGTCCAGCTCAAAATCTTCCATGAGAGACTAGAAAGGCTGTGTATACACAGGGAGACAGCTCAGAGGGCAGGAGTACATGGGAGGGAAGGACACAGGGAAGAGGTAACTATGGGGAGAAACTAGAAGGGGAGCTGTTGTATTGTGGGAAATTGCAATCAGTGTCATGAGACAAAGTGTATGTGAGCTGCTGTATGGAAAATGAATTTTCTCTGTAAACTTTCATCCAAATCGCAATAAAAATTTTAAAAAAATCCATGAAATTTTGTACGTGTATTTTTCCTATTCCTCCTCCTTTGTAAGAAATTCATTCCAGAAATCTCAGGTTAACAAGAAAACAAAAAATAACAGTGTTATGCCCCAGACGGCAGAGAAAACACTTCATTTGGGGTTGTAAGTCGATTAAATACTCTTTGGCTTCTGGGTGAGCACAAGGCATAATTCCAAAACCAGAAGACTGTGGCATTTCTACTTTTCACTAGGGCTATTCACTAGAGATCTGTTAACCAGATCTTATTATTCCTGACACAGACAAACATTATCACGCATAACTAAAGAAACAGAGATGATGAGTTTACCAATTACAGCATCAGAAGTACTACCAAAAGGATCGGTCATAGGCAAAAGGTCAGGCAGCAGAAGAGAAGTGTCAGGAGATTTGAGTCCCTCAATAAGCTTTTCTAGGTTGGGCAGAGAGATAAAGAGAAAGTAAAAATGTAATGAGATCTCAAAATAAGTTGATCATTCACCACTTTCTATGCAGACACATTTTAGGGATCAAAATTTTGTTTATATTTGCCATAAAAATGAATACTGTTTTATTAATGAATATTGTTTTATCTCCCCAATTGAAGTAGTTACGTTAAGGCATTCAAGATACTACCCTAGGTTTGTGTGTTTTTATTTGAAATATAATTTGCGTACAATAAAAGTCATGAATTTTAAATGTACAATATGATGAAGTTTTTTTTTTTTTTTCCCCAATTTGATGAGTTTTGACAAATATATGCATCTAGGGAGCTCTGGTAGCATAATGCCTAAGGCATTTGACTGCTAACCAGAAGACTTGCCAGTTCAAACCCACCAGCCACTCCTTGGAAGGAAGACTGGGCAATCTACTTCCATAGAGATACTACCTTGGAAACCCAAGGAGGGGTCTCTATGAGTCAGATTCGACTTGACAGCAGTGAGTTTGGTTTTGGTTTTTATATAACCATCACTGTAATAATGGCACAGAATATTTAAAAGTTCCCTTGTATCCCTTTGTAGTCAATCTTCTCTTCTCATCCTCCAGACCCTAGCAACCACTGTCACTACAGTTTTGCCTTTAATGAAATTATATGATATGTAGTCTTTAGGGTCTGGCTTCATTTAGCATAAAGCTTTTGAGATTCATCCATGTTGTGGTATGTATCAGTAGTGCATTGTTTTGTTGCTGAGTAGTATTCCACTGTATGGAAGTATATCTGTTGGAGTTACATTGCTATAAACATTTCCATACAAGTCTTTGTGTATTCATTTCCCTTCCTGGCCTTAGGTTTGAATCTTTTTTTGGGAGAGGTCTTACATTTAGATAGTTTCTAACTCACTAAGAAAATCTATTCAACCTCACCTAAATTAATTTCAACAACCATTTATCATCTATCAACTATGTACCTGTGACATGCTGGTACTCATTATTCTCTGGCCAAATCTCACAAAATTTACTTAAACCTGTAGATGGATTACTTTGGATATCTTTTTTTGCTAAGAAATAAAAGGACCTGAGAAACCACCAGGTTTGTCATACATAGTAATTTATGTATGACAATGTATACGTATTAAGATTCTTTCCAAAATGACTCCTTTAGCCCTGATCCACTCACAACCATCTATTTCCCTTTAACTTATTACAAGAAGAGCATCAACTTGAAACAATATAATGAACCAGAGAGTCTATATGAAGGGACTGTAAAGCGCATATCTCCTTTTATATACAAGGAGACTGAGGCCAGACTAATTCCATGACCTGACCAGTTAAAGACATGCTAACAGTGCTATTTTCCTCTTCAAAAATAAATTGTCATTAAGATAAAACTAACATTATTTGTTTGAAAAAAGGAAGTGACTTAAAGTTCAAGTACATGTATGTAACATTTTATTGGATCCATATTCTAGTATATTGATGAAAAAATAAAATGGTTTTCCTAAGGAGTCTAATGTTTCACTATTCGTGAGCTCTAATTTTGTTTTATTCCTTAAAAAAAAAAAAAAGCTTCTTTCATTTTACAGCACTCATGTATTTGCAATATTGTGCAGCACTGGATAAAAAGACCCAAAATGACTTGTCATTCATGCAGCAGTTTAATTTGGTGTAAAACCTTAGGCTAGTGCTTTTATGGCGTCTAAATTATAGCTTCTCCAGTGACCAGCTAAGACCATGGGGTAGAGTTCCCTAACCTTCTGACACTATTTCCACATCTATAAAATGGAGATACCTCTATCTACATTCTGTGTTGATCAGTCAAGCATCATCTTCTTTAAGCCTTTCCCTACCTTCCCTGCCAAGTTAGAAACTTTCTGGAGCACTCTTCACTCACTTCTCTTACAGGGTGACTACAGGCAGGAAAGGTGTCTTATTGATCTCTGCAGCCCCAGTGTATGAGCCCTCTCATACTCTGTCACATCTCTGTCTTATGGCTTGGTTGGAGGTTGGGAAGGATAAGGTATCAACTGTAAAAAGTTTGGTACACTTCAACAAGAATAAGAATCCAATTTTTTTATTAGCTAAAATCATGTGACAGAATACAAAAGAATCTGTGTGTGTGTGTGTGTGTGTGTGTGTTATGTAATAAGATGGAATGGGTGAAGTGCCAAAATTAGGGAGGCTTATTTGTGACTAACCTCACTGTTGCTTGGGAATATTCAAATATTGGGTGGAAGGGGCAAGGGAGAGGTAATTCCAGGTAGAAAACTAGGACAAGTAGGTGTGAGACTTACATATGCCACAGCATATGTAAGGTGGACAGCATGTACAAATGGACTCTCCAGTGAGGGAAAGCTCTCAATTACTTGGTGACTGTCCTCTAAATGCCATCATAACAATAACCATCGCTTACATTTGTGGAGTATAATGCTTATTTCCATTTATTATACATAAAAAGTCCTAGATTTCAGAATACTAATATGGTTGAGGAGAAAGGAGATCAGAGACTATGAGAATGTATGACTTTTCCAAAGTCAAAGAAAAGTCATGGATATGACATCAAAGTTCTTTCCACATGCTGCCTACAGGGTCTGCCTACCTCCATCAACATAGGAGGAAGGGTCTTCACTTAGACATGGTCCCATGCACAATGGCAAAGCTATTTAAGAAATGTTTGTGTTGGACTAAAGAATAATGTAGAATCGGTAAAACACTGCATGATGTGGATGAACTTGGAGGCCATTATGCTGAGTGAAATAAAGCCAATCACAGGATAAATATTGTATTAGACCACTATTGTAAAAAGTCAAGGAAAGGTTTACATGTGGAAGGAAACTTTCTTTGATGGTTACCAGGGGTGGGAGTAGAGGGGAGGAAACACTGCCAAAAAAAAAAAAAAAGGAAAAAAAAATTAAGAAAAAGAAATCTTAATAATTATGTGGAACACTCATCAAGAGGAATAATTTATAATTTACATGTGACTGCAATTCCAGAATAGGAAAGAGACCAAAAAAAAAAAAAAAGGCACCACAAAAATTATTGAAGATTTGCTGGAAGAAAACTTCCCTAATATCATGAGAAATCAGAAGATATGCATTCAAGAAGCTCAACAAACTCCAAATAGGACAGATCTCAAAAGAAAATCACCAAGACATATCATAACAAAACTCTCCAAAACCAAAGACAAAGAGAATTCTGAAAGCAACTTGGGAAAAACAAAAAATTACCTACAAAGAGAACCAGTAAGACAAAACTCTGATTTCTGGCAGAAATTATACAGGCAAGAAGGCAATGGGATGACCTAAAAAAACCTGAAAGAAAAGAACTACTGATAAAAAATTATGTATCTAGCAGCAAAACTGTCCCTCAAACATGATAGTGAAATTAGGACATTTCCATATAAACAGAAAGTAAGAAAAAATTTAAAAAACAGATCAACTTTACAAGACATGCTAAAGGGAGTGCTTTGTACAGAGAACAAACAATGGCAGACAACCACTTGAGATTAAGACACACAACAACATCACTTAGAAATCTGACCAGATATAGAAGTATCAAAAACAAATCTATAAGACTGGATATAGGGAATCAGAGATCCATTTGTAAACAATGACAACTACAAAGCAAAAAGAGGGAGTTAATGTAATTCTGAAGTTTCAAATGGAGAGGAAGCCATGACAATGTCAAGATAGAAGCTGTTTTAAACTTGTGAAGAGAATAATAAGCTACAGGGTTACCTCAAAGAAAATTAATAGACCTTACCAAAACAAAAAAGAAGAAAATCATACTCATTAAACACTAAAATGACAGCAATGAAGGAAATGATAAGAAAATCCATTAAAAAAAAAAAAGAACTCACTACAAAAAAATATATGGAACAAAGAAACTATCAACAGCATACATACACCCCCATTGAAAAAAAAGCAGCAAAATTATAGAAGTAAATTCATAGCTATTGATAATTACACTGAATTTAAATGACAGTCAAGAGACAGAGAGTAACAGAATAGGTAAGAAAACATGACCCACCAATCTGCCGTCTACAAGAGACATACCTTAGGCATAAAGACAAAAATTAGCTAAAAATCAAAGAACAGACAAAATAGGTAACAATAAAATGGCAACCAAAAATGAACAAGAGGGGCAATATTAATTTCAATATTAAATTGAAACAGATAAATACAGCAAACTTTAAGTCAAAAACCAACAAAAGAGACAAGGAAGGCCATTATATAATGATTAAAGAGTCAATTGAACGAGAGGACATAATCATAATAAATGTCTATGTCTATACCCAATGAAAGAGTCCCGAAATACATACATCAGACTTTAACAGTATTGAAAAAGATAAATCGCTAACTCCACATTAATAGTGAGAGACTTTAATACTCCACTTTCGATGAAGTATGGAAGAACTATAAAGAAACTTAACAGAACTATAGAAGATCTAAAGAACACAATCAACAACTGCACCCCACAGATGTATGCAGAACATTCCACCCAACAGCACAATATACATTCCTTTCCAGTGCACATGGAACATTCTCCACAATAGACCATATGTTAGTACACAAAACAAACCTCAATACATTTTTAAAAATCAAAATACTAACAAAGTACCCTTTTAGATCACAATGCTATAAAATTAGAAATCAACAACAGGAAGATCAAGGAAAAAAGATCAAAGACATGGAAATGGAGTAATACTTTATTAAAAAACTACTGGGTAATACATGAAATTAAATATGAAATCTAAAAAATTCCTTGAATAAAACGAGAATGAAAATACACATACCAATACCTTTGGGACTCAGCAAAAGCAGCAAGTCAGTAAATGCACACATCAGAAAAGAAGAAAGAATCAAAATCAACATCTTAATCCAACATCTCCAATAATTAGAAAAAGAGCAGCCCCCCAAAAAAGTCTACAGTATCCAGAAGAAAGAAAATAAAGATTAGAGCAGGAATAAATGAAACAGAAAAACAACAGAAACA